GAGTTGCGAAGTTTCACCAGGACTCGGCAGCTGAGACGAGTGTTCTCCTGTTGTTGTATCCATAAAGTGTACATTCTGTGGTTTTTCCGGCACTGAATTGCTCAAGTCTATGTCACCAGCCAGTGCGGTACTTTTTGGTGCAAGAGGGCTTGAATCTGGAGCACAATCACCATCCTGGCTGATAGATTCACCCGCTTCTTGATTCTGCCCATTGATAATGGAATCTATCACTGTGGATGGCCGAATAGGAATGAGTTGCGAAGTTTCACCAGGACTCGGCAGCTGAGACGAGTGTTCTCCTGTTGTTGTATCCATAAAATGTACATTCTGTAGTTTTTCCGGCACTGAATTGCTCAAGTCTATGTCACCAGCCAGTGCGGTACTTTTTGGTGCAAGAGGGCTTGAATCTGGAGCACAATCACCATTCTGGCTGGTAAATTCACCCGCTTCTTGATTCTGCCCATTGGTAATGGAATCTATCACTACGGATGGCCGGATAGGAATGAGTTGCGATGTTTCACCAGGACTCGGCATCTGGAAGGGCTGTTGTCCTGTTGTTGTATCCATAAAATGTATATTCTGTGGTACTTCTGGCACAGAATTGCTCAAGTCTGTGTCATCATCCAGTGCGGCAGTTTTTGGCGCAAGAGGAACTAACTTTCGCGCAAAATTATTATTCTGTTTGGTAGATCCACTGGAGTCGTTTACATTTGGATTGTGGAGGTGCGGGACGAAATTCGCTAGCCTAAGAGATTTGTTTTTGCCCGGAAATGCTTCACGATATTTTTTCATGTATATGCTCAGCGGTTCGACGTAGTTGTCGAAGCCCAGCGCTTGCATTGCTTCCAGGATATCTTCATAAGTTATTACGTCCCTGCCGTCAGCCCTGCAGCAATCGGAGGCTTCCGATGAGATGAATAAGATGAATTCAGAAGCAATCTCCTGCACACATTCCTTCGCATCTTGTGTCACTTTTGCGGATGGTGGAAGCGCATTTCGCATTAATTGCGCCACACAGGCAATGGGGAAGAAACGATGATGCTCCGGAATATTTTCAAACTTAGAAGTTCTTCTTCTACCCGTTTTTTTGATTCTGATGGTCGACAATGTCTGATTCACATTGTCATCTTTCGTTGCTTTTTTTGTTTGTTTGTTTCCGGGCAAGTGTTTGCTTTTGTCACTGCTTCCTTCCTTCTCGCCTTCTTCATCCATTCTATCAAAAATTTCGCTCGATCTGAAACTCCCAAAGTAAAAAATTCAAAAATCAGAAGTCACGCATAAACACAAATTT